CTCGCGAAGGTAAATTGTTGCCTTCCACAAGACCACGTTTCACTGAGGCTCAGCAATTTGGACTGATCGGAAATCCGTTTGTCTGATGTGTATCAACATATCTGAATATCGTTGAGATATCTTAAACAGATTAAGGTCTGGGTCGTGTTTTTACCTTCCACCACAGTACTTTTTCGTAGTGCTGCTATAAGACGCATGAAGTAGTTATCCCGAAGCAGTCGTGCATTCTGACGTTGAAGAGAAAGGTAGAGGGCAGTGAAAGTGGATATCGTTAACGCAAATGATACGAGTACCCAGAGAGTACTCAACTTCCGACCAAACTAGGACCATAAAATGGCAGTGAATGGCAAGGATGCGCCGATTGCCCCTATTAACATCGTTATGTGTTATTGCTTTTCCCCTGTTCTACAAATCACTAACTTGAATATTCCACTGCATCCTTCTTACTCTTTTTTGAATAGCCAAACTTCGAGATGCATACAGGAGCATTGAAGGTGCCTTTTGCTAACTTGAGGTTTACGGTTTTTTAGTTGAAAGACACTGGCACAGAGTTGGAACTTAAACAAGCCATCGAACACTTCAGAGGGAACTTGCAACACTCTATCAATCCAAAAAACCTCAATCGCTACATCACCGCCTACATGCAGTAAGTTGGCCATCCTCTCAATGCTGAGGCGACTTTTTGCGTTCCAATAGAATCCGCTGTCTACTAAACTAGTTGTTTTATCTCTTTATTGTAGACGAAAACCTCTGAGTGAGCGACTTTCAGACCTAAAGTAAGTCAGGTTTCCGGTACTGTTAAGCATGATTTCGTCTGCCTCATACGACGCATTTGAACGCATGCTTACGGCCAAGCATAGCTATGATGCTGTGTGTGGCAAAGCATTATAGCGAGCACTTGGACAGGAAAGTCCAACTTTGAAAGAATTTTCCTCCTTACCGAAAGTTTACAACGGTGGCTTTCGTGCCGGATAAACATCCCTACACAGGATTGAATGCCATGCAAACAATGTCACGAAACTAACAATAATCATGGGGAAATTTTAGTCTCGCCTTTTGCACGGATCTTAAGAACTTTCGGTTCACTCGGACACACATAAGGCAACAGTAGTTCTGCCATTAAATTATCACAGTGTCATCTTACACAAATTGTGGTTTCCAAAATGCAATTACTTCTTCTTCCAATTGTTTTATCACTGGTCTACTTTAAATATTTGACAAAGTACTTGGATTAAGTCTTGGTTGGTTGCGCTACGGTGACAAACTGATATACTTGGTCCTTGAGTTCCTTACAGTACCACAGAGGGAGCATCAATGGGTTAAAATGGCTTTAAGAAAAAGGTTTACCTTCTCTTTTCGACTTTGGAGCACTTGAAGGTGATGTTGCCTACTTTTGTAGTTCGCCTACGGTTCGGATTACGCACTTATAGCTTCCTTCCTAATCACAAAATTGGAATCACCTCTAAATTTGAACACATTTCTGAGGTCTATTTTGTATTATTTTGGCGAATGTGTTGCACCGTCGATTTACTGGATCCACTAATCGAGTAAGCGGAGTCTTTGGTGAGGTCATAGTACGGTAGATGTAGAAGCGGAGTTTAGAAATAAATGCCGTACCTACCAACAAAGTATTACCTGATTCGTAAGGGAACCTAAGCAAGCAATACAAAGTGATCAGGAATGTCACTTTTTCCTTACCTAACAGATGCTCGATTCTGCTGATCACAGGAGCTTTGGCGCCACAACGGAAGGGATGTGAAAAGCTCTACGAGGCACTGATGAAGGTGCACAGCGCCAAGTCCTGTGCCATACGAGAACTGGTCGTAGTGGAGAATGTGGCGAATGTGCTGGCTGAGAGGGTGAGCTCTGTGCCAAACACTCTCATTCCACTTTTGGCCGCTTCACATTCTCCCCATTCCTCACCTCCTCCTCCTCCTCCTCCCACTACTACTACTACCACTAAGGCTACTACTACTGCTACAACCACTAATACCACCGCTGTTCCTTATTAATACGATTACTGCTACCCTTTTAGCCGGACAAGGTGATTGAGAGCATGCAGTACTTCCTGCAAGGCATCGGTCTGGGTGAGTCTTTCTTGCCTCCTGCTTTCACTCCAACATCCTCCTCTCAACCTCCAATTGTTGCTCCAAAGCTTTGCAAACGAGCTTCGTCTTAACTGGTGGGGAGAGAAAAGCGTGACGATCGAGTGGTGGTGGTGGTGGGGCAATTCTCTCAGGAGGGTAGAAAGTGGCACACTTTTGGTGCACTTACATGACTGCACTCCGTTGAGTGGGTGATTGCAGCAAAGTGTGGCCACAATGTGGAGGTCAACGGTGTCCCGATTTTATGTCCGACACTTCTACTTATTTGCCATGACCTCATTTTAATCTGCCATCGAGGCAGTGGCGGCGAGTGGATCACCTCTCCCCCACAACTCCTAATGCCAGCAACAGCAGCCACTTCATCACATGCCGAAACGCCGTGGCATAAATCGAGAGGTGGTTTGCCTTTGTGTGGTCTGTGGACTGTAGGCTGAGGTGTGGGTGTGATGCTCCAACTCGTCACTCATTTGGAGGGGCAGTAGGCGTGCTCGTGCGTTTGCGCAAACCAAGTGCACGATGAGGCAGGAATGCAAGAACTCGAGGTAGTTGGTGGGAAGTGCGCACTCCGTGTTTGGCTACAGAGCATAGATTAAGCATTGTGGCTGGCGTGATTAGGTTTGTTGGTGTGGAGGGGAAATGGCCACTTGGATTATTTACTGGCGGTTGACTGTGCGGGTGAGTGGGTGGTAAGTGGTGGTGGTGGTG